ATGAGACAGCCTAGTGTCTCCTCAAGCTAACAGAAAGAGTAACAACACTCCACAGGGCACACTTGAGCCAGGCTCTCCTGACTGAGGCTGCTATTCGGGACTTCCCCTTTGTGGCCCCAGAGACCATCAGATAGCTGAGAACCAGCGGGGACAGACCTGGACACTAGTTTCCCTTGGCCCTGTGAGAGGAGAGAGGTGAACTGGTAGAGGAAGGCTGCACACTGGCCTGTGGTTAGTACCTGTTGCCTAGAAATGTTTCTTCTGGTTACTGAATTCTGGAACTTACCCATGTCCAACATCCAGAGCAGGGCCAATCCACCAGTGGGCAAATTTCTGGAATCCCAAGACAGACGGTCCCCTATTAATGATGGTTCAAATGGTGATTTTTTTCGACTTTATGATGGTGTGAAAGTCACATACATTCAGTAGAAACCGTACTTTAAGTACCCATACAAAAACCATTTCTGCTTTTCACTTTCAAACTAGTATTTAATAAATTACGTGAGACATTCAACACTTTGTTATAAAACAGGCTTTGCGTTAGATGACTTCGCTGAAACGTAGGCTAATTTAAGTGTTCTGAGCACATTTAAGGTAGGCCAGGCTAAGCTAAGATGTTTGGTAGGTTAGGTGTATTTAACATGCATTTTTGACTTTTCTTTCTTGATATTTTCTTTTCTCCTTTCTTTCTTTTCTTTTCTTTCCTTTCTTTCCTCTTTTTGTTTCTTTTTCTTTTTCCTTTTTTTTTGGTTGACAGGGTCTTGCTCTGTCATCCAGACTGGAGTACAGTGGTGCAACCATGGCTCACTGCAGTCTTGAACTCCTGGGCTCAAGCAATCCTCCTACCTCAGCCTCCATAGCAGCTGGGACCACAGGTGTGTGCCACCATGCCCAGCCAATTTTGTTTATTTTTTGTAGAGGCGGGGTCTCTGTATGTTGCCCAGGCTAGAACTCCTGGACTCAAGCAATCCTCCCACCTCAGCTTCCCAAAGTGTTGGGATTACAGATGTGAGCCACCACACCTAACTTAGTTACAATATTTTTAACTTACAATGTATTTATCAAGATGTAGCCCCATCATATGTTGAGGAGCATCTGTATATTCTCAATATATTTCTTTTCTTTGGTGAGAGACCCCAGTTCCTAAAATGACCCAACCTTCTTATTTACCAATAGGAAACTTGGGGAGAGGATGTTGAATTTGACCTCTGGCCCCTAACTCAGGGTTCTCTAAAGTAGAATTTGGGCTTCGTGAACTACAGTGTGTTTTAAAAGCCCAGTGGAAGTTGCTCCTTGTCCCCATCATGGGAACATTAATGTTCTTGCCTCTGGCTGGCTTTGTTATGCCCTTAGTGCATTGATGTTGTTTGTACCTTGCTGATGGAAAGGGCTGGATTCCTGTTTCACTCTTTCCCTCTTGTCCTCTGGCCTGATGCAAAGGCTCCCACCAGGTTCCTGGAAGGATTCTCCCCTTTCTGCTCAAGTCACTGCCAGACAGGGTTTCAGCTAGAGACAGAAGCCAGAGGGTGGCAGGCCAGCCAGCAGCCACCAAAGGCACAGCTTCAACAATGGCATCATGCTGCCTGCCTGGCTGACATGGCTCTTATTGGCTGTTGGGGCTGTTAGGCAGCAGTTGTAAGCCAGTAACAGCGCTGCCTACTTGCAGCAGGAAAGAGCCTGGAGGGCACCTGTCCCTCCTTAGTACATTCGTGTTGGATGATTTGCACACACACATGCACACACTCATAGTGATGGTGGAGGGGAGCAGGTAACTCACTCCAGTGGGACAGATGACCCTGAGCATGCCCTAGGCTGGCTCCATTCCCCTGCTCAACATCTAAACAGTCAGGCGGCCACTGCTATGACCGTTCAGTGAACAACTGGACCTTGACCAAAGAGACCCTGCAGACACAGGAGAGCGACTGGAGCTCCCCTGCAAAGTGAGTCCCTGCCTGGGGACCTCCCCGGGTGGATCAATGTGCTTACACCACAAGTGGCAGAGCCCTGTTGGGTTCTCAGCTGCCTTCCTGACCACCCCCATCCCTGTGTCTGGGGATCCCCCTGAGCCCAGACTACCTGGGTACTCTTCAGGTTCCTCACTGCCTGATGTGGTTTGGCTCTGTGTCCCCCAAATCTCATGTCAAATTGTAATTCTCAATGTTGGGGCAGGAGCCTGGTGGGAGGTGATTGGATCATGGGGGCGGATTCCCCCTTGTTGTTCTCATGATGGTGAGTTCTCATGAGATCTGGTTGTTTAAAAGTGTGGCACCTATCCCCTCACTCTCCTTCTCCTGCCACCATGTGAAGAAGGTGCCTGCTTCCCCTTCGTCTTTGCCTTCTGTCATGATTGTAAGTTTCCTGAGGCCTCCCAGCCACGCTTCCTGGCAAGCCTGTGAAACTGTGAGTCAATTAAACCTCTTCTCTTTATAAATTACCCACTCTCAGGTAGTTCTTTTTAGCAGTGTGAATACAGATGAATACACCACCTCTCAAGCAAGTTTTCTAGACAGAATAGTGAATGAAATAATATGACCATTTTATGTCATAGAAGACAAAAACACGTACTTTCTTGTAGCTCTGGACTAGGCAACTATTAGTCCCCTCAGCAAAGATTCATCTTTCTGCATTTGCAATGAAAATGTGTCCAACTCCAGGTTTGGGGATGAGGACAAATCAGCTGGTCAATGGTGGAGAAACCCTGTCCCAGTGGAGTGAGTTGGTCTGGGGGTGCGGCTTGCAGTAGGAGTGTGTGTCTCACCAGACCGAGCCCCCTGCTCCTGACTTTTTGCCACACTCTGCATCTGCTGCAGCCAAGCAGAGGGTGCCGCCTGCAGTAGAAGGAGCTCACTGCAGGTTCATGAACAGATGCTGGTTGTGCGTCATGGTAAATGGTATGAAAACATGACTGACCGAAGGGAGGAAGCCTGAGGAGGAATACAATTTAAGTACATGTGTTTGAGCCGGGCTCTCTGTTGCAGCCAGGAGTTAATGACACTTGTGAGCAGGAGAAGTCAGTTCAAACACAACAGTGATGTGGGCTGACAAAAGAAGGGTAAGCAGGACCCTATCCAATGTGGCCAATGGCTTACTCATAGGGAAGCCGTGGCTAACATAGCAGCTTCACGATGTAGCAGTGGGTCACAGTACATTTGATGAACTGATGGCCTGGGGCTTCCTTGCAGAGGAGAAAAACAACCAACAGAAGGTAGTCCTAGATACAATTCCTTTATTATCATTATCATGCCCCGTAGCACACGAAGCTGGGCTTCCACCGAGTTCAGGTAAGAACAGGGGTATGTTTACAACGAGAACAATTTCTTTATATACCTAGGTTAAGACATCTGTTTCTAGAATACTGTGATGACCCACATCCATGGGCCAGCTGGTTCCAGGAGTCCATCCGGCCTCACCAACATTGGGCTGTCTGGAATAATGGCTGGCACTTGCATAGGGCAGGGCATGGGGAGCAAGCCTCAGGTTTATAAGCAGGGCTGGGCACTGCTGAAATAGGGGAAGGGAGCAGCCAGAATGTAGCAGGTTCTCCCAAGGCACGTAGAAGTTGGTGGGAAAACGGGGCTGGGGTGTGTAACTTGTCCCCTTCCAGGAAGGGACCCAGGCACCTGGTCTCCTGGCCAAGATTACAGGCCATCCAAGAGTCCTCCAGGGAAGAGCAAGCACTGCACAGACGCACAGCAGAGAGGCTTTCCTGGCTGGCCATGAGCTGACCATGATGACATGCTTCACTCCCAGCCCCTAGTGGTGGAGCGAGTCGGGAATCTCGGCTGCTGCAGGTGGAGCTCAGCTGGATAGCCTGAGGTACTCGTGAACCCCGAGCGTTGTGACACATAAAGGAGGGTGCCTGCATCTTCCTTTAGGGTTTGGTCTAAAGCAGTCGTTCTCAAAGTGTTTGGTTCCAGGGCCAGCAGCTGCAGCTCCTGGGAACTTGTTAGAAATGCAAAGGATTGGTCTTGCCCCCTCTTGATGAGAAATTCTGGGGGTGGGGCCAGCAATGTTTGGAAAAGCCCTTCCAGGTGATTCTGATACTCACTGAAGTTTGAGAACGACTGGTTTAGACGCTTGGTCACCATACCCTCAGTGGATGTGAGCCTGGCCCAGCAGCCATGCAAAACACTGGCATTCCCTCTCAGCCCCAGAGTGGCCAGTATCTCAGAATGTTTTCCAGGTGGGTGACAGGGTGGGCGGTGATGACAGCGACTGTTCCCACTCACTTCTCCAGCCTCAAAACCCTGAAGAGGGCCCAAGTAGCAGATTCTGAAACCAAAGCTGGCTCCAGGGCAGGAGGGCCCCGAGGCACATCACAGTGATCTGCCATGTTCCCCCCATACCCCACAGGGCCGTGCTGAGCCCTGCTGGATGTAAACACCTCTGGCCGTCCACGGCACAGGCTCGCTGAGAGAAATCACACAGGGTCCACCCCAAAGCCCCAGCAACAGCAGGTGCTCCACGCAGGGGGCTAGAAAGAAGGCAGAAAAGGGCCTCACCTGAAGGGGAGGTGGTCAATGCATCCCGAGAGTGCCCCTTCCTGCCTGCCCAGGGTGGCTCTGGGAGTGGGTGTGACCTGAGGGGTGACCTCCATGTGGACATGAGATTCTGCACTCTGCATGAAGGCCCTGAGGGCTGAGGGACAGTCCCTGCTATTGCTTTGGGGTTAGTGTTGGTACTTGGGGTGATGGGCTGGGTGGTCGTCATGAGCCTTGGCCCTTTGGGCTCCTGGCTGCTGCCTGAGCCCCTGTACCCGGAGGGCCCAGCTGTCAGCCTGAAATGAGCCAGGCTTCCGCATCTCCGGCACATGTGCCGCAGGTGCTGCTTTGTGACGGTGCCCCCCGAGTGACACTCTGTTCCTTACTGACAGCCTGATGGCTCATTATGGAGATGGAGAACTGGGGGACACTGAGGAGAGGGGTTCCTGGCCCAGCTTTCCTTCCTTCTCCCTGGCTGGGGGTGGCAAGACAACAGCCATGACCACTGACACACAAGTCTTAACTTTGCCCAGCCTTAATTTCCTCATTTATAAAATGGGGGAAGTAACGCCCTCTTACTGGGGTAACTGCAAGATAAGTATTTATGGTGACAGATTCTTAGTGCACGGCAGGACCTTGGTAAACACAAAAACATGCCTGGACACACTCCTCACTTACTGTGCCTGAGGGGCCCTGGACATGGGGCTAGGGTTAGGGAAGCAGGAGGGAGAAAGAGAAGAATGGACACAAACATTCCACCCCCTCAGCCACGGCCACGTTTCATTCTCGCCGGCTGTCCTGACACAGGTCACCCGGGGGACTCGGGGACGCGCCCTTCTCCCTTAGTGTCTGCCCCTGCAAGCTTAGGGAAGGGCAGCATGGTGTGTGCAGGGCAAGGATGTGCCCGGGCCAGCTGGGTGGGATCCCAGCTCCTGATGCTGCTTTCCTGGGGCCCTGGCGTGCAGGGGCCTTTTGCCCACACAGGACTGATGGTGACATTCCACAGGCATGTCCTCTCTCTCCAAGGAACTCAAGGCTGTACCAGCCTCCAAACAGGGGCCCGGGAGGAACTGAACTGGACATGAAGCTGTACCCTGGTCAGCAGGAAGGGCACACCCCACTGGGGACCACATGGTTGGCTCTGGACTCCAGCCGCTGTACACTCCCAGGCAGAACCTGCCCTATCATGGGCCTCCGTTTCCTCTAACCCTGTCTGATCTCCCAGGCTGTTGGCATGGCCCAGGAGGTCAGATTTCCAGGCCCTGGGTTGTTCTACCACTGTCTGCAGCTTGGACAAGCCATTCTCTAAGAGGCAGTCTGGCTGGACGACACACAGGGCAGGAATCACAGCTAATCCTGCCCCAGTAAGGCTGGACCAACTATCCCATGGGGCTGGGGCAGATGGGGCAGGCTCTCCTGGGCCTGCCTTCAGTGACAAGGCTGCGCACAGGGCACCTGCCTGCCACCTGTCTTTCATCTCCACTAGGGCAGACAGGTAAGGCCCCAGCACCCATGCCCACTGCCGCCTCCCCTTGGCACCCCGGCAGGAAGAACATGGCTCTAGCCCAGTACCCCCTCTCTCTTTCCACTCTCCCTCTGTAGTAAGATTTGTCAGTTGTGAGCTCATCCTTCAGGGAGCCTGGGAGTCACAGCCAGTTTTCGATTATCTGCACGAATTCCAGGAGGTTGGAAAGCAGCGCGAATCATGCACTACACCATTTCTCTCTGCCTCTGTGCAGTCTGGGATATCTGGTCTTCCTTTTAATGAATTTGCATTGGCAACTCCAGGGCCTTTTGGGCAGGGGAGATAAACCAGCCTAGGCTCCAAGAAGCCACTGGAGAACACCCAGAGAAGAGGCAACCGGCCCCGAGGCTGGGTTTCCCTCTGTCCATGCGGGTACTTCCTGTGCTGAGGATGCAGCTTCTGGACAGTTCAGGGCTCTGTTGGGGTCAGCACTGCGTGGCCTTGAGGCCACTCCTATGTATGGGAGAGAGAGCACCCCTGCCCCAGGACTGGCCTAGGTCAGCAATGCGCTCACCACAGTGCAATCTGGATCAAGCAGGGAGGCGAGCTGGGACCTCTCTCTGTCTTGGCCTTAGCACAAGGTGCCCCCCTTCGTAGAGGGGAAGAGGGTCCCGCTCTGGGGAGAAGTGTAGGACCTGGGGAGGGTGGAAGCCAGGTATGGTGTTCTTGTGTAGTGAATGGGCTGCCCCCTTGTAATAGCCATTTGGGGTTCCCTATGGGTGTTGTACAAAAAGCTGCCAGCATGGAAACTCTGTATTTTCTAGGATTTTCTTTCTGTTCTCCCTTATTACTGGGGAAAGTTCTTCCTGAAAATTCCCTGCTGAATTTAGTGATGCGAGAGAGAACCTGGGGAAAAAACTCTGTCCACTCTAGGATGGGTGGGAAGGGAAGCAGAGCGGGACCCCCTGGAGGCAGTGCGGTGGCCACGGGGTCAAGGAGAGGGCCCCAGGAAAAGTGAGGTTCAGGCAGATGCCCCTCTATTCAGAGCTGCTGCTTCTCAGCGGCTCCGACTTTGCAGGGTTGCGAGTTGGTCCACTCCAGATGTTTGCCACCCACCAACATTAGGAACTGAAGATGGTCTGCAAACCTGGTGTTCCTGAGAATCAGGCCTCGGAACAGGAGATCCCTGGGGGGCATATCACTAGAGGCCAGAGCTTGGGGCCATGGTCTCCCAGGGGGTTTCTCCCGGGAAGGCTGCTAGGCAGGTGCAGGGCTCTGCTCCTAGTGCAGCATGTGCTGGTGTGGCCACCTTACCCCCTGCTTCCTGCCAGGGCGGCTCTACCCAGCCTGTGGCTGCCCTACCCAGGCCTCCCCACTCCCAGGCCCTGCAGGAAGGAGTGAGGCCAGCAGGACATGGCTTTCCAGGTGAGGCAGTGTGGAGAGCGGGCAGGTCAAAGGGCAAGGTCTTCCGGAGGGGGGTGTGGGGGGGAGTCAGCCCTCCCTGCCCCACCCATGCATTTTTCAGAAACAACAAGGTCAGGGCTTCTGAGCATGGGTGGGGGAAGCCCCTGCTGAATGCAGGAGTGCCAGGGTTCCTGGGTTTTCTGCCCATTGTTCCAGGTTCAGGGGTTGGGAGGGAGCAGAGAACCCAACTGCCACCATCCCGTAGTCCACGGGTGCCCCTGTGCCTGGTGAGGGGCTCTGGTTGTCTCCTGAAAGGATCATTTCCCTGCCCAGGATCTGGCCATGGGGGCTGAAAACGGAGGAGAGGGGGCCGAGGGTCCCTGCCTGGGTGGGCACAGTAGAAGCTATGGTCTCAGGCACTTGGTGGATTTGCAGGAGCTGGGCACAAAAGAGGGGGCATCTATGGTCCTAGTGGAGCTGGTGCTAACTCTGCAGGCCTTGCAGACGGCATGTGGCCACCTGTCGTCCTGAGGGGCAGTTGGAAGAGGAGGTGGTTGGCCGTTAGTAAAAATGCCGCTGGAGCCTCCGGTGCAAGCAGCAGGTGAGAACCATCCCGCAGATCTGCCAGGTGGAGAGAGCAGAGGAGCAAAGAGAAGTCAGAACTCATGGAAGCTGCTGGCCCCCAGGGCCCTGGAGCAGTGCTGCTCACTGGAATCCCCTGGGGCCTGGACAAAGGGCAGATTCCTGCTCAAAAGGTCAGGGTGGGGCCTGAGATTCTGCATTTCTGACAAGCTCCCAGGTGATGGCGGTGTGCATGGGGGAACCACATTCTGCCATCTACTATCCAAGAGCAGGGCTTTGCACACTTTAATGGGCATGAATCATCTGGGGACCTCCTTATTACAATTCTGCAGGCCTGGTGGCAGCCTGAGGGTCTGCATTCCTAGCAAGCTCCCAGTTGATGCTGCTGGTCTGTGGTCCTAGATCTCCAGAGATGGCCTGATTTAATTAGGCCCTGAGAGTAACATTTCCACTCCCTCACCAGAGCCGTCTGAAGTGGACTGTCTCTCTAGGAAAGAGTCTGCCTGCGTTTTGCTGTCCTTGGACTCCAGAGCAAAACTCAGGTCCATCTTCGATGCTCTGGCTGGTGTACAGGAACCATGGGGGAAACTGAGACTCTGGGAGGAGCCCGCTGAGCTGTCACCCTGTCAGTCAGCATAAAATGATAAGAGCCGGTGAGCTCACCCTGTCAATCAGTGTCGAATGCAGCACCAAGCCCAGGCCCCGGGAGTCCTGTCTGCCAGCCCTTTTGTCCGTATCCACAGGCTAAACAAGAAGGGGCTGGATCATCTGGTCCAAAGCAGACACAGGCCTGGGAGGATCACCCTGCACACCCCTTCTCACTTCTCGCACTTCCAGAATGCAGAGGAGCTTTATTCTCCCTCCTTGCTCTTCATGGCCCCCCTCTGCCTTCTTCCTCCTCTTCCTCTCCTCCCTCCCACCCAAGGACGCATTGAGGGTCATGTGATTATGATCCTGATAATGACGATGGCATGTTGTTGGATCTCGGCTGTCTGCACACAGGAGGGGGCACTGGACTACAGCAACCCCATGACTGTCCCATGGTACCTGGGGTGAAGGTGGCTCCCCTAAGTATTGAAACAGTGTCCTGACTTTGCTAGCAGCTGCTGCTGCCCTGACCTTGCTGGTGCAAACCTGGACGCAGGTGGAGCTCTATCCAGCGGGAGGAGAGCAGGCTGGTGGAGATGTGCGTGTCCCATACCCAGTCTCTGACAGGCTAGCTGAGGGAGGTAGTATGGAAGGGGTCCATCTCCTTCCCCTCCTTCCTCCTCTCCATCCCTCCCAACCTGGAGGACACTGTGGAGCCTGAACACTGCTTTCAGCCTGCAGACTTGGTGTTAATCCACCTGGGGCCTCAGGCTGAAAGGCGGCTTAGGAGGTTATCTCATTTCCCGCTAGCTTTACGCAGGCAGCTGTCGTGCCGTTCCACCCATGCAGGTGTCCCTACCTCATGGTTTGATGATTTTCCTGTGGGGTTTTCTGGATCTTTCTTATCTGTGCTAAGAGGGAGGCCAGAAGGGAGCTGTTTGGCTGGCACGGGTTTGTGCTGGAAACCATGTCTGCATTGCCTGCAGTGTATGTCTCCTGCTGGGGGAGGGCTGGAGGGGCCGTGCTCCCGGGCAGACAGGGTCCTGCATGAGCTGGGTGTTCCCAGGGAGCCTCCTAGGACAGGCACAGTAAGGGGCAGAGGTGTGTGGGCCAGACTGTCATCACTGCATCCACATGCACACACACACATGTGCACACCACGCCGAAGCATCTGGAGGGGTACAGGATGCCACTCAGTCTGGTTCCTGAATAAGGATTGCCATCTCCCTCCTGACAGAGGACACTGAGAAACCATCACGGATGGCTCCAGCAGCCAGCAGGGGGCACGCAGAGACAACACAGGGCCAGCTAACCGCAAGCGCTGGAAGTGGCAGATGGGGTCGGGCCCAGCTTGGACGCCCAGCCACACGGTGCCTGGTGCTGTCTTCTGGCAGCTGCCTGTGTGTGACACTTGGCCACACATGGGACATTTTTAACAGGGAGGCCGTCCTGCCTTCAGCTTCCTCTGAGGCTTCTGAGTCAGCACCTGGCTGTCAGCAGAGAGCATGAAGGAAGGGCCAGGGAGCGTCCAGGAAGTCATTCCAAAATGATCATTCGGTTTCCCTTTTAATGACCTGCAGATCCCAGTCTTGACTGTCTTGTGAGTTTTCTATGCTCTGAGACACGTTTGCATTTGCAAGGTGAGCATGTTGGAGGTGGGCTAGGTTCTACTCGAGGCTACACCAGTGGCCTGTGTCATCTTGGGTACAGTTACCTCCCTCTCTGAGCCTCAAATCCCCCTCTGCCAATAGGAAAATATCCAGTCTGTACACTGGTTTAGGGTCTTCCTTGGCAAGATTCTTTAAAAACTAGAATAACAGAAACCAACAGCACAACACCCAGTCCTTCCAACACCCCAATCCTTTGAGAGGCCAGGCAGGGTAAAGACCCCCGATCCCCCCCTGCAAGCCAGGGCTTTGCACATGCCATTCCCTCACCCTGGCTCTTTCCCCTCTATGGGGCTTCTTCAGGACTTAATGAGATATCACTTCCTCCAGGAAGCCTTCCCTGACCTCCCATGACTGGTTAGGGCCACTGATGTTTGCTTCCTAAACCCCAGGGCTCCTGCTAACACAGCACTTAGCACTGCACTGTGACTGCCACACACTTATCTGTCCCCTTCCTTCAAGTAAAATCTCCCTGGAAGAAGGGACGGTACCCTGCCTGCAATGGGGCCCAGGCACTGGGCACAGCTCCTGGCACACAGAAGCTCTGTTCCAAAGTAAACACAGCCTCCTCTGCTGGCTGCCTGGGCGGAGGCTCCTAGGACGCTGATGTGAGGAGGGCTGCAGGAAAAGGCCTGGGCTACTCTGACATTTTCAGTGAAATGTTCCCCAGCCAGAATACTCTAGAAATTAGCTTCTAAAATTACCTCAAAGTGGAGTGCCTCCAGAGTCTACCCACAAGAGGGGAAGCTGGTGCAGAAGAAGCAGGCCCATGAGCTGGAGACCTGGCCAGCTCTGCCACAGCGGCTGTCACCTTCAGCAGGTGACTTTCTGGTGAGGCTTGATGTCTTCACATGTGTATGAATGAGATGAGCCCAGGGACTCTGAACCCTAAATGCACGTTTGACCCAGCTGGGAGGCTTAAAAATACCTGTGCACAGACCCCAGGCCAGACAATCCAAGCCAGTCTGTGGAGAGGGGGCCAGAGCAATGTGTTTTGTTTGTTTTGTTTTGTTTTAGACCGAGTCTTGCTCTGTTACCCAGGCTGGAGTGTAGTGGCACAATCTTGGCTCACTGCAACCTCCGTCTCCCTGGTTCAAGTGATTCTCCTGCCTCAGCCTCCCGAGTAGCTGCGATTACAGGTGCATACCACCATGCCCAGCTAATTTTTTGTATTTTTTAGTAGAGACAGGGTTTCACCGTGTTAGCCAGGATGGTCTCGATCTCCTGACCTCGTTATCCGCCCGTCTCGGCCTCCCAAAGTGCTGGGATTACAGGTGTGAGCCACTGCGCCTGGCTGCAGTGGTATTTAAAAACCTGATTCTAGCATGCCACCAGGACCGGTGGCACTGGTCCAGGTAGTCTGTAAGGCCTTTCCAGGCAGAAGAGTCTGATCGGGGAGTACCTCAGCGCTGTGGTGATCCTGTCCAGGTCTGAAACTGCCTCTGGTGTGCCGCTCCATGACTGACGTGGGTGAGAAGCCTGGGAGGTCCCTGCTGAGGGGATAGGTGCACTCCCAGAATACAGAACCTCAGCGTGGAGGGGCCTCTGCCCCTCCTCTCTGCAGGGGATCCTCCCTTCAGCATCCCTGCCCCCAGCCTCTGCCCTAACCTGCAGCCACAGGGAGTTCAGTACTCTGCAAGGGCCACTGTTTAGCAATTCAAATTGTTAAAAAGTTCTTGAATGTGTCTCCTTGAAACTAATTCCACCTACTGTTCCCCTTCTGCCCCCTGGAACCTCCCAGGAACAGTCCCTCCGTTCCCCACATGACTGCCTTGGGCATTTCAAGACCACGAGGGTGCTGCGTCTGCTCCCCATCTCCTGACCTCTCACACACCTGACTTCCGGGCCCCACACACCCTTTGCCACTCCCTCTGCATCTGCCCACACAGTGGCATCACTAGAGCGCTTCACGAGTACACTGATGCCCCCGTGCCAGCCCCAGACCATTTTGTTTCATTTTGCTGCGGGTAGCCCAGGCCTGGGGTAGTCTTGTCTTGTTTTGTTTGAGACGGAGTCTGTCACCCTAGAGTGCAATGGCGCGATCTCGGCTCACCGCAACCTCCGCCTCCTGGGTTCAAGCATTTCTCCTGCCTCAGTCTCCCGATTAGCTGGGATTACAGGTGCCTGCCTCCACGCCCGGCTAATTTTTGCATTTTTACTAGAGATGGGGTTTCACCATGTTGGCCAGGATGGTCTTGATCTCTTGACTTTGTGATCCGCCCGCCTCAGCCTCCCAAAGTGCTGGGATGACAGGCCTGGGGTAGTTTTAAAGCTTGTCAGGTGATCCCAATGTGCAGCCGAGGTTGAGGTCCCTGCCTTGGGGGCTCTGTGGAGGTCTGCTCCTACCTGGAGGGTGGCCCGAGCTGGCACTGCCCACACCCCGGCTCTCTCCACGATTTGTACCAGTGCCGTTCCAGGCCACATCTTTGGGGGCAGCACCCTATCATGTAACTCAGGCAGATGCCCTCTCTCTGTTACAGGCTTAAATGCAAAACAAAACAAAGCTCAAGTGCAAGGACTTTAACTCTGTGAAGTGTTTCAGCCTTCATTTCAGCACATCTTCACATCCAACAAGCTCTTTTTTCAATACTAGCTTTATCATACAACAGACTGGAAACGCTAGGTAAATAGTTTAGCATGCTTCCTGGGTCTTTGTTGAGGTCACCAAGAAAAATGAAGAGACAGGTCTGAGGCTGAAAGGCCACAGCCCACTCCTGGAGACTTTCTGCCAAGCTGACGTGAACTCTCTCATCTCCCTCTCACAGCGTGGTCAGTCAGCCTGCCCTGATTTCTCCTGAGCATACAAGTGTCTGGTCCACATGTCCACAAGGCAACAAGTGATGCACTGCCAAATACCTGGCTGAAATCAAGGTGTGCTCCCTGCGTTAAATAAATATTCTGTTTAGTTTTCAGTGTTCACAAACTATCTGCTTTAACACTCCAGGTATTGCAGGACATCAGTCTCAAGGTCACTGGTTCCTAAGATGAGAACCTCACTGAAAAATCATAGAACGCTAGATCCAGAAGGTCCCACAAAACAGGCTAGACCCACAGCTTGCAAGCTGTATTGGAAACGCTTGCGTAGCTCAGGGCCACCAAGGGCTGTGAGGGGAGGTCCTGATGCTAGGCTTGTGTCTGCCTGGAACGGCTCCACCTCCTGTGGTTTATGTACTGGGCTCCTACATAAGATTTCCATTGAAAAGAGGATGCCGCTGCTTTGAAAAGGCTCACAAATATCCAATCTGTCCATTTTACAGGTAAGGACACTAAGGGTTCAGAGAGGGAATGAGATTTCCCTGAGGTCACACAGCAAGAGGTGGGGCTATGTTTAGAAATCAGGCCTTGTAACTCCCAAGCAAGATTTCTTGCAGTAGCTGGGAGCTGGGGAACATTATGACACCATGTTGGGGTGATATTTCCCGAGCCTTGGGGGTCTTGGAAGTGCCAGGCTGGGCATGTAGGGGAGATAAATGCCTGGCGTCTGCTCACTGGGAGGGAAACTATGACCCTGGGGAAGAGACTGGTATGAGCCCTTTCTCAAGGCTTATGACCCACCTAGGACGTGAGCAGTGTAGTGCCCAGCGTCAGCTGGCAGAGGGAGCCCTAACCCGAGGCTTGGCTGCTGCAGGGCTGGCTCAGCGGGCCACAGCAGAGAAAACTGGGCAAGAGGTTGAGAGCCACCAAAAGCCATTCCACAGCAACGGCGAAGGAACACAGGCTGCGCAGTGGGGGTTGTGAGTGGGCAGGAGGCGTGGCAGGCCTGCAGGTCCACTGCTCAACAACCTGACCTTTTCAACATCAGACCTCCACCAGTATGGTCGACCTTGACGGCCGGCCCTGGGCATCCGCAGCCCCACTCCCTGCCCTCGGCCTCACTGACCTCGTCTGCAGCTTCTACAGGTTCTTGAGGCCAGAGAGGTGAGGAAGAAATAGACAGAGTGGCCCAGGCCTGGTCAGTGTCCACACAGAGCAGGACCCCTCAACACCTGGAGTTCACAGGTTTCTGGAAGGTTCAGCTGCTCTGTGCTGCTGAGCATCCCTTCCCCTGTTCCCACTGATGACTTCCCTGGGGTTCAGCACAGGGGACAGGAGGCCTGCCCTGGGGAAGTGCAATAGAGGGGCAATGCTCATGCTACCTGGGCTCCCTGGCCCTGCAGCTGCGTGAGGATGACGAGGAGCAGGCTGGTCTGGCCAAGGAACAACAAGAGCTTTTTTTTGAGAGATGATGTGCTTATGCAGAAATCACAGAAATGATGGGTATCATTTATTGAACACCTGCTATCTGCTCAGCCATGAGCTGAGTGACTTACATGGATATCGCTAATTCCCACCACCAGACAGCAGATAAGGTATAACTAGCCCCATTTTACAAATGAGGCTCAGAGATGAAAGAACCGGCCCTAGGTCACACAGTTGTAGGTGGCAGAACCAAGATGGGTGTCCCTCCAGAGGCGACGGACCCTCCTCCCCGTGTGTGAGGCTGCAGCTAAGGCCCTCCAGGCCCACAGATGATGTGGGTAGGTGGCACCATGGTCTCCAAGGACCCTGCACTGGAAGTCTCTCCAAGTCAGTCAAGGCCACTGTCCCCTGCTCTCTTTCCCACAGACCTCTGTGTCATGGTAGGGAGTTCGGGAAAGCAAAGAACCAAAGCCAGGAGACCTGGGTGCTGGTTCAGGGTGTGAGGCCCTGGGTAACTCACCTCTCTGGGTCTCAACTTTCTGATCTGTAAAATGTGGAGAGCAGCTGGGTGCCATGGCTCATGCCTGTAATCCCAGCACTTTGGGAGACCAAGGCGGGCAGATCACCTGAGGTCAAGAGTTGGAGAGCAGCCTGGCCAACATGATGAAACCTCAGCCTCTGCTAAAAATACAAAACTAGCCGGCATGGTGGCGTGCACCTGTAATCCCAGCTACTTGGGAGGCTGAGGCAGGAGAATCGCTTGAACCTGGGAGGTGGAGGTTGCAATGAGCTGAGATTGCACCACTGCACTCCAGCCTCGGTGACAGAGTGAGACTCTGTCGCAAAAAAACAAAAAAACAAAAAACCAAAAAAACGAAGAACACTACTCCTTTTCTGGCCTGAGTCTCAGGCTGTTGTGTGGGCTCAATGAGAGGAAGTATCAGAAATCCTCTGAAGTCTACATAAAACTGCAGAAAGACAGTTTCCACTTCTGGAGGCCTTCCTATGTGCCAGGTACTTCGTAAGTGGGTCACAGGCATCGCCTCATTCAAGAGCTGGGGAAATGGTCCGCATTTTGCAGATGAAGAAGTCAATGGACAGGGAAGTTAAATAGCTCAAGGTTATCTAGGAGCAAAGCCAGGACTGGACCCGGGCCTTCTGAGACCAAAGCCTCTGCTCCTCCCCTTCTCTAGACGGTGCTTAACTGTGGAGTGGCAAGGGCTGCGCAGGACAGCAGCACTCCTAGAAGGACAGCCCGCACTCAGCTCCTGCTGAGCTGAAGCAGCCATGCACATGAGGTGGGGACTGCAGGGGCCCTTGCTGCTGAGGAGGCCTTCCTGGCTCCCCTCCTTCGGACCCTTGACTAGAGCAACCTGAGAGAGTCACCCTGACTTCCTGGGTAGCAGCTAGGGGAGAGGGTACAGGGAGAAATGGGAGCCAAGGACATTGCTCATCCTAAGAGAGACAGCTGGATGCGGCACACACACACACACACACACACACGCACACACGCGCACACACACACACACAGTCACCACCCTGGACACCAAAATCCATGGATGCTCAATTCCTGATATAAAATGGTGCAATATTTGCATATAACCTCTGCACATTCTCCCCTATATAATACCTGAACCTCATCTCTAGACTACTTATACTACCTCATACAGTGTAAATGCTATGTAAATAGTCGGTATATTGCATTACTCAGGGAATGGTGCCAAGGTTTGTTCAGTACAGATGCAATCATCCATTTTTTGGAATATTTTTGATCTACAGTTGGTTGAATTCATGGATGCAGAACCCATGGACACGGAGGACTGACTATACACACACAAACACACATGCACACACAAAGGAATGAATGCAGATACATGCACACTCACACACACATGCACAAGCACCCCTAAAAACATGTACGTGCATACAACCCCAACCCCATGGACCCAGAAGCATGCAGACACACGCCCACAGATGGCTTGCACACTCGCCCCTCCGTGCACACCCATGGGGTGCATGCACATACCTGAGCCCACACTCACACTCCTCCCAGGTCCCTGTTCCCGACAAGTTCATGTTGTCCCCCAGCTATTTTCCTTCATGTTCTCTGGGGGAGATACTGACCGTGGGATTCAGCCTTGGTTGCAGAGGGAGGGGGAGAGAAGAAGAGAGCGGAGTAGGGTGCGGGTGTGCAAAGGGTCAGTTATTTCAGCCCAGGTGGTTACTGAAGACCTGTGTCAATGCGAGACGGGTTCAGAGCCCTTCCACCCCCGCCCGTCCCTGCACTGCAACTCACCTGCAGGCAGGCCACCCCGATGCCCACAGCCCCCATGAGCAGCAGGTGGTCGGCCAGGAACTGCTCCAGCTTGGTGAGGCAGCCTCCCTGTAAGAGAAGGGCAGGTGACGCGGCCATGGCCCAGGAGCAGGAGCTGGTGGGGAGGGAGGGCGGGCGGTCACTGCCGCAGAGGCTGAGGACAAGCCAGAGGACTCACAGGCTGGACCCAGCCTTGAACTGCCCACAGGCTACTTGAGTGGACCCAGGGGCATCCGTGGTGTCCTAGACTCTCCGGTATGAGCTGCTTGTCCCAGGGCTTTGTAGAGACTCTGGAAAGCCCCAGGCACTGTGGGCTGGTGGCCAAGGAGCACATGTGTCCTGCTTTCCCACACCCACTTGCCTGATCCAGCCTTTCTGGGGCTCCTGAACGGCCAGGCCGGGGCCCTCTCCTCACCCCCACCCTGAGCTTGGGTGCTCACCTCCACCTTATAGATGTTGGAGGGGTGGACCCGCTGGCCGCAGCGCGTCACCGCTGTCTTGCAGCAGCTGTCGGGCACCCGGCGGCCCTCGGCCTCCCGCGACAGGATGTACGTGCTGTGCTGCCAGTCGGCTGAGCTGTTGCTTCCACAGCACTTGAACTGGAGGCAGAGGCAGAGGCTGGAGGTGAGAGGCTTGCGTAGGGTTCCAGGCTGCAGGACACATTATTCAAATACTAACCCAACCCCTACTTGTCTATCTGAACCATGGTTAGTTAGTATGTGTATAATGTGTTTTCCCTTCCCATGCTTTGAGAAGAGAGCTGGTCGCTCCAGGGCCCTTCTCAGACTCAGTGCTGAACTGCCTGCAGGACACCTGCTTCCCAAATTTTTAGCCACCCAAGTCCTTCAAGGAGGCTATGCTAGGTGTCTTGGGGGCAGGCCGGGTCTGCAAGGTGGGTCCCCAGAGAGTGAGGCTGTGGACCACTGGGTGGCGGAGCCCAGGGTGGGGACACAACCACAAGGCAGGGGAGTTTCCTGGTCATCCAGGGGTCAGGATGTGGGGACAGGGATCTAGCCTGGCCAGAGGCTCCCAGGCCCCCATTCAGGCTTTGAAGTCTCAGATCCCCAGATCTGCTCATGGCACTAGGAGACCAGTGTCAACCAGAGGGGCTGTCATGAGTGCTAAGACCTGGGGTCATCTGCACCACCCCAGGGCAGGAAAGCGCCCACCCGGATATAAAATGATTCCAAGACAGCGGACACTGGTTGCTTCTCGCCTTTCCCAGTTATGGCACTGAGATTCAAAGTTCCCACACGGGACAGAGGACAGGGCTGCTGTGGGGCTGCTGCTGGTGTGTGTCTGGAGTTGGGGGGTGGAGGTACGTTTAGTCCAGCTACCAAGAGTTTGCTAGGCAGCTACTATGTGCCTGGAGTGAAGCAACCTGAGTAAGGCATGGGGCCTACCCTTGGGTAGCTTAGCATCCACTGTCCGTAGTAGGAGATGACAGAAGCTTGTGTGTGGCACAGAGGCTCTGTCCAGGGCCAGGAACAATCCACAGGGATGAAGAGGGGCCCCAGGAGTTGAGGAGAGCATGACAGCACACAGACAGAGCAGGGACCGGCACAGCGTGCAGGAGTCACGTGGGAACTGCACATTCCGCGTGACTGCCTGTCTGTGCTGGTGCCGCCTGATGGCTGTCATTTGTAAAATGCGGACAACAAAAGTACCTCCATGCCATGCTGTTGTGAGGACTGAAAGAGGTGATTCACATAAAGCACCTAGAAGAGAGCCCGGCGCTGAGTCAGCGGTGAAGGAGAGACACCTGCTTCCACCATCACGCTTGTGTGAATACAGCTTCGTGTGTCTCTGTCATTTACATCCACGTGGTGGTGGATGCTGACCTGGGTGCTGGCCCTGGCTCTGCAGCCACTGCTTTCTTGGGCTCAGTCTCCTGCCTGAGATGTAGCCTGGGGTTCTAAGTGTTCCCAGCTTATGTGAGGGCTGTGTCCGGACGCACAGCCACCCTGCAAGTCTTCGTCAGTGACACAGCCTTCGCTCTCAGCTGTGCCTTTCCTTATCTGCCCCTGGCCCTGACCTGCCGCTTCCACCCTCTTCACTTAAGCAAACCCTGCCTCTGCCCCATGAAGCCCTCCCTGCCTTGGCTGCTCTCTCTTCTGAGGCTCCTGCCTCTTCTGAAGGTGGCCCAGCCTTGCACTGCCTGCACATTGCCTGCTGTGTGTCCAGCTTCCCTGAGGGCAGGGATCCTGTCCTATTCCTCTTTGTCTAGCACAGTTCCTCACAGGTGAGGCCCAGTGAGTGGAGTGCACACTTAGTTTCGCACAGGGCTGGCCAGCAGTGTGTGCTGCCTCCTCCTGGTCCTGAGCTAAGCCCGTGGGGTGCCAGTGTGCCTGTGGGTGTGTACTTGTGTGTACATGCATGTCCCAGGCCACTACTTCAGAGAAGAGACTGCTCTCTGCAGCACCCAGTAGGAGCTGGTCCTGAGTCTTGGGGAAATGGGGAGGGGCCTTCCAGTTGATCCATGACGCCCCTAGGGCTCAGAGCTCCCCACATCTACTTCTTCTACTTGCCTGATGTTCCCCGGGGCCAAGAGCAAGGCCTCAGGTCCAGGGGCTGGGGGTGGGGAGTGGGGTGGCAGAGAGAAAGGGGACCAGAGTGGGCAGGTGGGACTGCTTTGAATTTTCTGACATGGACACATTCGGATCCTAGAGCAGCGCTGTCCGGGAGAACTTTCTGCAATGAAGGCAGCGTCCTACATCTGTGCTGTCTGATCGGAGCTCACTAGACACATGGGCTAATGAACACGAAAAATGCAGTTGGTGTGACTAAGGAATTGAATGTTGTATTTAATTGAGCTGGTAATAGTCACATGTGGGTGGTGGCTGCCATACTGGACAGGACAGCTCTGAGGTCCATTTGCCCATCGTTTATGTCTGGTCAGGCCGGTGGGTGTCCCTGGAGGGATTTGCTGCATCTCTTCTTGGAAAGGAGAAACCCTTTCTGTCCCCCAGCATCCTGTCTGATGGCTCACACTGGAGGGTCCCTGTGGCAGCTTAACTGAAATCTCTCTGCTGGTTACAGCTCAGTCTTACGGAGCCGCAGTAGCCAGCCCCCCGGGGAAGGAGGAAGGCAGCCCCGTGGATAGAAGCAGCCTGGACAGGAGCTTCCTGGGCTGGATCCTGGCAGGAGATGGAGTTCTCCTGGCACAGCCGGCTTCCTGGCCACAGAGGCCCCAGAACGGGAAGGCAGCAGGGGTGGGGCCTGGAGGAGGTGGTCGGAATAGGAGAGGAACCAGGCTTCAGCAGGTACTTTTCATGGCAGTGGGGACATCTACAGATGTGACCATGTTTAATGCTCATATGCCCTAAAGAGGCTTCATTTTAAGAATGTGACATCTGAAGCTCAGAGAGGGTAAGTAACCTGCCTAGGGTCACCCAGACAGGAAAGAACAGTTAGGGTTTGAACGCATGTGGGCTTGGCCTTCAAGGCCATATGGGGCATGGCTTACATCCTGCTGGAGCCGGTCTACTGAGGCGGTGATCTGCGTGGCTCCAGGCTGCCCGTAGTTCTCAGCCAGAGTCTTGTTCAAGTGCTGCTTCAGTTCATCACTCAGCTGAGGAGGGTAAGAGGGAAGGTGCCATCAGCAGGACCAGCCCCATCCCCGCCCTGGCATCAGGCCTACTCACAACCCCCCCACCCCCCAGCTAATTCTAGAACACTGTGGACTGTGGATGGTGTGATGCAGAGGCTTCTCAGCAGTGTAAGGGACCATCAGCCAGAGACAGTGCAGAAGACAGCTATGGAGAGGAAGATACAAAAACTGGGCCCCCACTTAGGGCAGAGGTGTGATGGGCAGAGCTGAGAGAGGCTGGGGAGACAGCTCAGGTAAAGGGTCACATCCAGAAGCTGGTGGGAGGCGGTGGTGAGGCCAGACACAGGGTGCTTTGAAATGTCTGTTGATCTTAACTGTGATCATGAGGTGATATTGAAAGTATTTATAATTGTTACCCTCTGGGCATCATATCAGCACTGGCTGGAAACAACCAGCAGGGTCGTACTGTCTCTACCAACCAAACATTACCCTGGTCATGACCTCAAATTCCCGATTCAGCGGGCTCAAGGGTGGGAGTGGATAGGACTGACTCTGGGACTCACTCCATCCTTTTTCAATCCAGGCAGGCAAGGCCTGATCCTGTTTCAGCGTCTGGCATGTGACCCTGGCCCAGGCCTTTTTTCTTGGATGTCTCTGACAGATGGATTCATCCTCTAGACCATCCTTGGAAGGGGAGAGGGATGACCCAGTGTCCCACGGGAAACCCCCGTCCCCAGCTCCCACATGGAAGACATCAGCATCCACACATGCAGCGCAGAATTGCTGGAGCCGGGACCAGCAGCTGGGATGCAGATGTGTAGGAGGATTGCCAGGGCCTGGGAAACAGGACCACCCCTGCGCCCGCCTCAGCTTCCCTCATCACAATGCAAACCTCCCTACCCACATTGCGTCTTCAGGGCACTGACAGAGGATGCAGGAGGAGGAAACGCCACTCACCCTCTGGTAATACACATGGGCCAGGACTCCCGCCACCAGCTCAACCAGGAAGATGACGAGCAACAGGCAGAAATACTAGGAGCAAGGAGAGAGGACGGTCACCACTGGGATCAGGATGCTGCTATCACAAATGTTCCCCCACAGTGGTGGGGGTGGTAGAGATACCTGCTGGGACCCCTATCATCCAGACCATCTTCCTCCTGGATGTACCAGTCTCACTGGCTGCCAGTACCAAGTTCCCCACTTACTCCTTCCCTCCTTGGTCTGCTGACAATTCAGTAATGCATCTACCCATCCAATATGTATTAAATACCTGCTATATGCCAGATGCCAGGTAGCGTAAGACAACTATTACTCTCAAAGTTATTGATGGTGGGAAGACAGATGAGTGACTGCAATGCTGTGTTATAAATGTAACTATGGGGTAAGCTCTAGAAATGGTGGGAGGCTCCTGGTAGGGTGGGCAGTCAGAGAAGGCTTCCTGGAGGTGGTGACACCTAAGTAACATCTTTAAGGACTGAATAGGCATTTGCTAAGTGAAGGAGGGAAGCACATTCCAGAAAGAGGGGAGAACAAGTGAAAAGCCATGGGGCATTTGTGTTCAGGGAGTGGACAGTACCCTTGTAGTTGGAGTGCAGGGACCAGGGTGGACTGTGACAACCAAGGCTCAGGAAAAACCAAATCAGAGATCCAGGGGAAGGTAATTCCTGTGCTGTCTTTCAGCCCTGATGCCCATTTCCTGTTCTTCATGGCCCTGCAGGGGTTCTCATTCCCCTCACCACTGCTCTTCCCACCTCCCAGGCCTGTTGCTGCTGCTGGCTTCCCAGTCCTGCACTCAGTGGGACCTGTAGAAGGACATGGGTGCTGCTTCCTTCTCACTCCCACCTGGCTTGCACAGTCAGGGGGAGCTCCTGAGACCCTGCTCGACCAATTCTGCTTGCAGGAGCCAACAGGCCTAGAAGGCATGTTGGGCTTCCCTCTCTCCCAACCCTGGAGGAGCGGGGAGAGGGGGATGAAGCTGGCTACAGGCAGCCATGGAGCTCCCAGGCAGGGACAAGGGAAGAGAAGAGAGGAGAAGAGAGAGGGAGAGAGGGGGAGAGAAGGGGAGAGAGAGGGAGAGAGGGGGAGAGAAGGGGAGAGAGGGGGAGAGAGAGGGAGAGAGGGGGAGAGAAGGGGAGAGAGGGGGAGAGAGGGGGAGAGAGGGGGAGAGAGGGGGAGAGAGGGGAAATACTAAGGATCAAAACCGGCCCCACTGTGGGGAAGCTCAGCTCGACTCAAGAGCACCTCCCACCTGGGCTGCCCCCAGGCACTCCCCGCCCACCTGGCCACAGCAGGGCAGCTGCCCATGGTCACTGGGATGGCTGGATTCTAGGGAAGGCCCAGCCTGTGGGTGAGACTGAAACTCTAGGCTTCACCCAGCAGGGAAAGGAGTGTGAGCAGGAGGTACATGGTGGTGGGTGGTGGTGGGGGATGCCCAGGACAGACAGGGCATTTCAGAGGCAATGCTAATCCATGGGCCCATGGGACTCGCCCAACCATCTCCTGTACCACTCAGCAGGGAGCCTGGCATGGGCAGGGATTAAGGAATATAGGAGAAGGGCCATTTCTTTTCACAGGGAAAGAACTGTGGTCCAAGAGCAGGGCTTCCTTTCAAATGAAGTGTGTTACCCACCTCCTCATTGCAATTTTACTGTGTCCTATAGTCTCCCAGTATCAGGGACACAGGGAAAGTTTCCAGTTTCAGAATAACAGTGTCAGGCCTAGCCCTATCATTTGTGGGGCCTGAGGCCAAGAGCACAAATGCAAGGTCCCGGCCCCTTCCTTTCCTGCCCCAGGCTCTTCGCCGCACCAGGAACCACCTCCAGCTCTGTCTGCCCCTCCCCCAGGGTCAGATGCCCCTTGGCAGGGGGTGTGGAGAGGGCTGTGTGTGGTGCAGGCTAGAGGCACACATGCCAGGGGTCTAGTCAGCCTCAGGACATGCTTGCAGGTGCTGCGTGCAGGTTGTCTGGACAGAGGATTCACACTCCTGGGTCCCCAGGAGGAAGTCAGGGAGTGGTGGGAGGGAGTTGCAGATTCCACAAGGACACATTCCCTCCACCCTACGGACCTGCCTCTGCCTGGGGAGGAGTGTGGATGAAGAGAGCCGCAGGCCCAAGCCTGGGTCTACCTGTACTCAGTGGGATGCAGGGTAAGCTGCGGCAGGAGGCTGAAGAGAGGGTCTGTGGATGGTCCTCCTGCTTGAGGAGCCTCTGAGAAGTAGGGCCCAAACACCGAGGAAGGCTGGGGGAAAGTCAGTGAACGTGGGTTGGGTTCAGGCTCCACCACATGCCGGCTCTAGCTGGATGGCTGCTAGTACTTTGGTGCAAATTAGAAAAACGTGGCTCAGGAAGAGTTGTATGGGCCGGATTTCAGCCTTCTTTGGTCCCCTCTTGTAGGACGCAAACTTTAGGTTCAACAAGGACCCAATGAGAGGGGAAATGTACTTTCCAGTGATCTGACCTGCCTCCTGCCCTCGCAGAGCTCCAGGTCCCACAGCATGAGGGATGCGGTCCTTGTCAGCCAGTGGGAGGCGCAGCCAGCCCATGCCAGAGTGTGGTCCCCCAGGGAGCCGCCCAGTCCATCAGACAGAGCATGGCTACACATTCACCCTCACCCTACCCAGGGTGAGGCATCCTTGTTTCTGAGCCTCCTTGACTCAGGGGCTCTCCCCTGCCATACGCTGCGGGGCCCTGCGGCTCCTCTGACATGCGCGCCCTTCCTGCCTGCTCCAAACTTCCCTCCACCACCCCCAGCTATGGTGCTGAGGCCGGCTCCCTCCCGCTGCACAGGACCTGAAGGCACGGATGCCAGGCGTTCCCAGAGACCTCCGGGACATGGGAGGAAGAGGTGATGGAGTGTCCCTAACTGACAGGAGCACCCAGGCTGCTGGCAGCTAGGAGAGCCGCATGCAGGCATCCCTCCACCTTCCTTCTCCCCATCGCCACTGTGGGCCGTGAGTCACGTCCACAGGATACTCCTGGATAGCTGGCAGTGTCATGCCGCTTCTCAGGAGAAGCCACTGCCCCAGTTCCTACTGAAGACAGGGTGGCAAACAGGGAGGATGGGGAGGTAGAGATACCGAACCTCACCCCTTGGTTTAGCGGCTGGCTAAATTGGTACATCCTACCCCTGTGCATCCTATCTGGACAGGCTGGTTCAGAGGCATCAAACAGGCTATCTGACCTGCTGGAGTGACCTCCTCCAAGAGGAGGGGGAGCGCTTGGCAGGGGCAGTGGTGTGTGGGGATAGCCTTCTCAAGCTCCAGTGTGTAAAGATGCCTGAAAGGGGAGTGAAGGCCTGGCCTGGGGCTTCGAGGGGACTGAGGCCGGGTGCTGGTGGGCACAGGTACTGGCTCCAGGCAGCAGCTTCCACAGCAGGGAGGCTGCAGGTGTGACCCACCAGGTGTGTGGTCCACCAGGCCCAGGAGCAGGCAAAGGGTCCCTCATCAGCTACAGCTTCAGCCGGGTGAGGTCATGGGCTCTGACAGAGCCGTCACCTGTGCCCCTGCACCCTGCACCTTACCCAGCCTTTCCTAACTCCCTGGGTCCGGCGGGATCATCTCAGGGCCCCTGCGGCACACACTGGCTCTGTGTGCAAAGCTGAGAAGTGTTCCTGGTGTTGCTGCACACAGGCCAAGTGTCCAGCCTTCGGGCCTTTGCCCTGCCTGTCCCCCTGCCGAATGCTGGCGCCTATCTCTCCTTCCACACCTGGCTCGGCTCAGTCATGGCTCCACGAGGCCATCCCTGGGCGGGAGCAACTGCCACTCCCCACCCTCTGAATGCCTGCAGCACGTCATCTGCTCTCTCCTGACACCTGCACTCTCTGCTTTGCCTGTCTCTCCTCTGCCAGACTGGGCTTCACCACTGTGTCCCTCCCCTGCCTGCTATGTGGTTCCTCAGTGTAGGTCATCACTGGATGAGTGACACAGCTTTACCCATTGCTCTGTAGCACTGCTCTTGCTTCAGGTGTTACCACTCTGTCCCCTAGAACGACTGTGAGCTTTGGAGAAACAGGGACCACATCTGAGGTTGCTTCTGGCTCCTCCACAGTGCCTGGTATGGTGCTGGGTCTAGACACACACTTAGCAGACATCCCCTGATTAAGATGCAGGAGTGCATTTTCAAATAAAGTACACCTCTGAGACAGCAGAAACTGGCTGGAGCATACCAGCCCCATGCTGGGGGCAGTAGCTTAATCTTTTTCTGATCTGAGAGTAGCATAGCAGTTACCTTAGTTAAATTTACACCAGTGGTTCTCAACCTGGCACAATTTTGCACCCAGTGGGTATTTGGCAAAAGGAGTATCTAGAGGATCGAGGCCCAGACGCTAAGCATCCCATTGGGTGCAGGGCAGTCTCCTGCAGTGCAAAATTATCTGGCCCAAAATGCCAGCAGTGCCGAGGTGGCAAAACCCTGGGTCACACATTTACCTTCAGGTTCTCAGGCTGATGCTGGGACTTGATTCGCTTATGTGTCCCTATGCACTGTGGGAGCCACAAAAATAAGATCCAAGGAATGTTAGCTAGCTCCCCAGCAGCTGGAAACGGAACATGGACAGAAGCATGTGCAGCACTGTACCCGCCTGGGAGGGCGCCTCTGCGGTAGGAGGCTGCTCGCCTTGACGAAAGGATCAGGGAAGGCTATATTGCTTCAGCTCACGATCCTGATGGGACCCCGGGGGCTGGAATTCCACGAGGGAATTCCATGAGGCCAGGTACAACCCGAGAGCTCTCAATGTTTCCTTGGGGATCATCTGTTTTCTGAAGCAGCCATGGATTCCTTCATTTGCTTCAGTGAGCTGGGGAGGGGTGTGACACCATAAGGTTTGTGTTAGGGGTTGACTCTAGGAAGCATCAAGAAGGTTCTGGAAACACCTTTAGCCTTCTTTAAGTTGGGTTTGGTATTGCTTTTCGAATTATTATACAAAAGTCAGTAATAAGAAATTCTCAGCCCATATTTCCATGTAGTTAGAATTCACTGGACCTCATGGTGTCCTGCTTTTCCTAGCTCACTGTGCCAGGGAGGGCCCCCGCTCCA